TAGCATGGAGAATATTAGCTTGACTTGTAGAGTGTTAGCTTAGCATTACTTCGCGAGATTTGCTTGGCGCCGCGACCTCATGCGAGACGCCTCCTGCGCGAGAGCCACAGTCCGACGTTACCTCTGCAGAGGAAAACGCAATGGACCCCCAAAATTGTTGAATTCCCTCTCGTTTGAGCTTTTAGAGCGCATTCCGATCCACAAAAGCGCCTTTATCTGTTATTGATTTGAGGCGTAGCAGGTCGGCGCAACGATGTGGATCCAGGTTCGTACCATAGACGGGAAGGAGACGCGAACCGTTGAGGACCTTTCTAGATTGACCAAAATTGAGTCTTTACGGTTGAAAATACAAGACATATTCAATGTGAGCCCACAGCAGCAGCGCCTCTTCTACCGAGGGAAGCAGGTAAAGCTCATTTCTTTGTTCGCTTTTCATGCAGCGGACAGTTTTTGACATTTTGACAGGGCTAAATGCTGGTGGAGTGAGTGAGTGGTCTTCTCTTGTGTTGTTGAGCCGTTTTTGGAACCAGCTTCCTGTTTTGGTAGGAATAGTTCTTGCGCAAGAGCGCGGGGTTGCCATCCTATGGGAAAATGTGAACACACGCATTCGCATGTCAGTTTTTTCTCAAGTTGGTGCTGAGGAAGGCTAGCGTGCAACAAATGTCCTGCCGCCATGGGGACGTGTTTGTTTACATTGCCAGCAGACAAAAAGAAGAACGCGCTCTGTTTCCACATGTCGACCAAAGTAGTGCACCGCAAACGAGAAGCCCTCAAAACTCGACTGTGTGCACCATTTTAAACCCATATAATGATATGCACATGTCTCTAAAGTGCCTCGTTTGTAACTTTACTGGCTAGACAGTATGTTGACATAAATTATAGGCTACACGTGCCTTAAAGCGAGTATATTTGTTTACACTCTATTGTCACCACGCTGCTCATGTGAGAATGAGTCTGCTGTAAACAATCACAGGTTATGTTCTTTTATCTCTGTGTTGTACAGCAGCAGACACATGCCTGAATGTGCAGCATGTTACATGCTTACATTTTTTTTTCATTTAGCCTTTATTTATACAGGTAGTCTCATTGAGCCACGAGAACTCATTTAGAGACCTGTTTAGGGAGCAGATGGTGGAGGTTAGGGGCCTTGGTCAGGGGCCCAGGGTGGGGCGAATGAGGGTGGAGGGAGATGTGGGTGTTCCACCGTTTCCACTCACATTTTGATGTTGACCGTACCGGGAGTTGAACCTGCGACTTTCCGATCACAGGCCCATCTTCTAACCTCTGCGCCTCCACTCCCCCACATTGACATTACATTAATACTGTGTTGTTAATTTGTCATATATGGAAGACAGTGGTTTAGTATTTATAAATTAAATTTAAGCCAAATAAGAACGTTAAAAATCACCAATGCACAATCAACTTGGCTTATTAAAAAAACCAAGTGTTTTTGCTCATTAACATACTTTTCTATATTGTACATTAGGGCTGTCACGATAACAAATTTTGCTGGGCAATTAATTGTCTCAGAAATTATTGCGATAAACGATAATATTGTGTGAAATTTGACAATAATTAGTAATTGTCAAATTTAAGAAGAAATGTTAGTTAATTTTTCTGTTTAGTACCTTTTTTTGACCACTGGATGGCAGTATAAGACTGAACCGCAGGATGGATAGTGAGGGAGCGAGCAGCTTATCTCTAAGAAAAATGGGACAAGGGCTGTCCTTCCTTTTTTTCGGTTTCAAAATAGAGGACACTTGATGTGGTTTGAGCTCTTTAGCGTTAACATTTGTCACACAAAGCTTTTAATAAATAAAAAAAATCAGTAAACAAGTTCTCACTTTCTTTTTGCAGAGAAAAACAACTTTTTAGACGAAAGCACGGGTTTCAACCGTGAATTTTGGTGCTTTGACAAGACGGAGGTTTTTTCCCCGACATCAGCCTGTTAGCTTAGCTCGTAGCTTAGCTTCTCAGCTTAGCTGCTTTTAACGATTCAAAAACACGATTTTGCATGGTTAAAAGATATTTTATAGAGAAAAGGGGTCAATGAAGAGTACTGGAGTTGAGCCTTTTGTCATCCATTGTCTTCATTAGAAAGAGAGAGAGAGACGAAGAAACGATAAAGCCGATAAATGAAAATGAGGTCGATAATTTTCATTTATCATGCCATTAATTGATTTATTGTTTATTGCGACAGGCCTACTGTACACTGGGATACATGAATAAAATGTCAATATATTTGTTTTGCTACAATTGAACAAATTATTATATACATTCTTTCTGCAATAAAGCACAATAAGTTAGTGAATTTGTCTGATACTATAAGTAGAAAAGATCTACTATGGATACGTCTTTTAGTTACTTAAATGTTCAACAAAGAATAGACAGATAACTGGAAAATATTTTGCATACTTTTATCAGTTACTAATTTGGAAAATGAAGACGCAGCAGTAGCTGCTACAACCAGCTTAGTGTAGGACACAATGAAGATATTTTTTAAGCAAGAATGCTATATGTTGTTTTTAAGTATACAAGTTCTAAAAGTTTGTGGTTCCCTTTCTTAATACGTTCAGACTTTTTTGTGACCCGAGTTGGCAAAATGAGTCGGAATAGTAGATGGTAGGATAAGGCGGTACACTGTCGCCTACCCTTTGGACGGCTGTATGGAAAGTAATTTCACTGTACTTAACTGTGCAATAACAATAAAGTTGATTCTGAATTTGCACAAGTTGCAGTGCAAAATAAGTGACTGAGATTTGCATAAAAATATTACTTAAAGACGGCAATCCTAGTGACTAAAATGGCACATAATCTTTCTAATCGGCCTTTAAATTGAAGTTTTCTAACATGTTAGTCTTCAGTAATTATCCTTTGTTTTAAAACAACACAACTGCTTTTGAAAAAAATATAATTGTTGGCTGCTGTAATGCCTGGAAATCCCTTTGTGTAATGTTTGACATCATTTGGAAGCTTGGGGATTTCTCTTTTTAAATAAAGGGCTGGAATTTCTGATGACTTTGTTGAGCTTTCAAATCGACTGTGTAAACAAAACTACTGTAGCTTGTTGCCAGATCAGGTGATAAATCGCCCAATTTCAGCAGAACACATGATTTTGAAGCTTTTGAGATGGAGAATTCACAAATAATAATTCAGTATTGAACATATTCCTCACTGTGACTCATTTCACCATTACGGGTCACATTGTATAATATTCTGCACACGGAACACTCCTAACTCGTCTTTAAAAAAGGGTCTTACATGCATCTGGAAATGTCTTCAGGCTTTGAAGAGTGCAAACGTAGCTCACACATGAAGGACTTCAATGTGTGAAATGCATCAACAAATCCACACAGTGACTCAGCTAGGCAGATTACCCCACCACAACCACCTCAGGAAGACACGATACGTTGATCTCACTGTGCTTTTTTCATTCAACCTTTATTTATACAGGTTCGTCTCATTGAGCCTCGAGGATTCATTTAGCATTGCTAAATGTGCTAGCATTTAGTCTCACTTTTCTTTACTCATATGTGCCAATCTCTATTATTGGCCAAAAAGACACATTACAAATTACAATCTGCATTTTCACATTGCCTAATAACTTGCTCCTTGTTGTGTTATCAAAAATAAATCAGTCCACATGCAGAGTCGCATTTGCACGATTGAGAAAAAGAACGTCAAGAATGTTCTCTAATGTCAATTATGACTACTTTCCCCCAAGATGAGAAGATTCAGTAGTTTAGAAGTCATTTTGAGCGCAAAGCAGGACTGCGGCTTGATAAATGTATTAACAGAAGTGGGTATGGTGTAGATCAATACTGGTTCATGGTTTATTAACCAGTCGGTTGGCATCTTGGAGTTGCTGTTGATTGTTGTAGCTGATAAGAGACCAGGCTTTTGTAGTAAAGCTTGTGCTTTCTTTATTTCAACGGGAAATAAGCGGGGAGTCTTGATTAGGGGATTACCATGTGCTACGTAATGCATGGAATAAGCACACGGCCTTGCATGCACACTGGTGCCTGTTAGGATTTAGACGTAGCAGAACAACTCCGTCTAACTCTCTTTTCAAAATGGCGCCTTGTTTTCCCCTCCAGCTCACTGCTCTCGCTGCCTCACCAGTTCAAAGTCAAGCTTCACTCATAAAAGTCCCTAAGCCGGAAGCCACTCATTTTATCTGTAGTGTTTTGATTCTTTTTTTTTTTTTTTGGTTTCATTTTTAAATAGTTATTTTTTTTTTTTAAGTTTGCACAATTACTCCTTGTTTTGTTGCTGTCTGAGTTTGAGTGTCTGTTTTTCCTCGTACTCGTAAGCACGCGCTCATTCACCTTCCTCTGGCCATGTGGCCTTTCCGCTTAGCGCCCACACACTTTAGCAGCAGGCTGCACATTTTCTAACGTTTAAAGGTTTGGCTTGTCGTTCCTAAGCTCATCTTACAGTGTTTGCGTGACTTCAACACGAGACTATAGGACGCTTTTCCTTTACCTCCCCGTAGCAGCAACTTCTTTTTATTCTAGATGGTTGGGCTCTCTTCCGCTGTTCACTGCTGCTCTTTTCAGACAGGCAGCTGCGGTGACCTAGATATATTTACAATTAATAGATTGTTGTTCTAACTCTTCACTTGATTGGGTTTTTGATGGGGTATCACTGTGTTCAGTTAGCAGGAAAGCAAACTTGGCTGCAGCCATGCATGCACAGTCACACCCTTCTTTGACGGATAGACTGGACAAAGGGCAAAGACAATGAAAAGCGCTGAACCGGGACTACAAATGCACACATTCTACCACTTTCACATGTTGTCACACTTATGCCCCTTCTAAATAATTCTAGCATGCCAATTAGCCAAGTGTCCTACCTTTCATTTACCTGCTAACACAAAAGCTATGTTAAGTGATAAGTGCTGCTTTTTTAATTGTTGGCTCAAATTACTGGGGGATTTGTTTGTTTGTTTTAGATGCAATGGAAGAGTGGTTGGATTTTTATCATTTTTGTGTAGAGATCATAACCCGTTTTCAACCTAAAATGGGTTAATTAAAATAAAATCCGAAAATGAAAATGATAACTAAAACAATCTTTGCCACCGTGGTAGCTTACGGGCGATGAGCTGTCCTTTTGAGATGGAATAACTGGGCAGGATGACGGATAAAAGTCCAAAGATGGAGGCTTGTAGAGAGCAGGCCTGCAAACACACCCCCTCTCATTGTTTTTGGTAATATGACCTATTTTGCTCAGCTCCGCGCGAACACAGAGGGGGCAGACAAAAAGTAATTGTGCAGGAGTTGGAACACTTTGGGCGTCCTGTCTGACAGGAAATAAGAAGCTAATTTCTGAGCCTCTTTCAAAGTGTCCTCTGTTATTGATCATTTTTTCACACTTTAAACACATTTTTTGAATGTTGCGCTGACAATATATCGACGCTCTTGATTGCTTTATTCCTAATTTTAGTAGCACCTTTATTATTATCTCATTATGGTAATCAGATTGCTTGGTTACTAAATTTTGAGGGTAATTACTGCAATAAGAGCTTAAAAGCATATATAGATATTTTTTTGAGGTGTTAGTTTGCACAATGATCAAAACGCAGTGTTGCAGTCAAATCATTTGCGCTTTTTGATAACTCGTAGATGAAAAGCAGTCTGAACAGATTTGTTCTTTGACAGAAAATCTGATGCAGAAATGTCTTTGTTAAATGTTTAAACAACAGGTTTTCGTCTTCTCTTTGTTTGTTTGTTCTGACATAATACATGTTGGGTTTTTTTTTTTATTCTTTGTGATCAGACACCAGTCTTTGGAAAACCTATTAAAATACAGCAAGGGAATTAAATTGAGTCCGTTCTGTAATATAATACACGCTCACATGAAAACACACTTTTTTCATGATTGTTTTGATGAACCTCAGGTCTAAAGAGTCACTGAACTCCATATATTTCACTGCTCCACTTAACTAAGAAACCAGCTTTTAAACCATAATGCACATGGAGGTGAAAATGTCACGTCCATAGCTATTCTGTCACAGGACATTGTCTGTTTGAAGCTGGAACAATTTCTAAGGTTTGCCTGTTTCATTGGTGGTTTTTTGTTCTCAGGATTTTTCCGCTGAGTGTGACTGAAGTCAACATCTTTCTGTTAGAGGCTGATCACGCTGTTGGAAACGAAGCCGCCGTGCAGAGCACGTACAAACAGCCGAGATGTTTGCCTTTTGGTGCAGTGAAATTCTGCCGTTGTGAAATTCATTCCGTTTCCGTCCGTCTAACCTGAACGGATCAACGGTGAAATTCTCTGCGGCAGCTTCTGCTAGCAGACACATTTTATCTGTTTAAAATGGTTTCTGTTTGTCTGTTTGTCTGTCCTCCATTAACGCATTGAGCCCCACTCCCCACCAAAAAAAAAAAAAAACACTAAACAAAGGAAAGGGGAAATACTTCACCAAAGTCTGAGCTTAGATAGGGAAGCAGACAAAGAAAGCCCAATCGTAGAAAGACAGATATGTGAGTAAAACTAGAAAGCCGTGTTTGCACAACTGCCCCGCTGATCTAAATTTCATGAGACTATTAAAAACAGAGAGGGATGAGGATGTCGTGCTCGCTCTCCACTCTCCTGCTACACCTTCCAAACGCTCTCCTCCTCATTGTCAAATCATGAAAAAGAGCATTGGGGAGAGTGAGCGAGGGTGGCGGCCATGCTGGTCCCTGAAGCACAATGGGTTGGTGGGATTGAGGGTTGCATAGCTTATCTGTGTAATGAGTTACACTGCTGAACAAGTATCTGTCATGCTAGTGATTTTATTCATTTACTTTTCTGAGAGGAGCATTTTCAGATGCCTGTGCACTGCTCTGCCTTAAAGGGTCACGCTGGGCATATTGGTGGGTTGCGTTGACGGTGTTTGTATGTACGCTTCAGACTCCTGGGGGTGGGGGTCTCTCCTGTGGTTGTCATGGCAACCTCATCATTTCTGTCCCCCAGCTACATATCCCATCACTGTAATTCATGCAATTCCTGCGCTCATACCTCTTATTCATTTTTTTTTTTTCTTGTACCAAAAAAAAAATCTTCGTCTGTTTTCGAGGAACTGAGTGAATGCAGTACACCGGTTTCTGAAGCTTACATGTCATATTTTTCTTAGAACGTATCAAACCAATAATATAAATGCTTTCGCTTAGACTTAATTTCATACCATTGCTTATGCTTTTACTTATATTTAATCTCAGTGGACATTGACTAGTTAATGTTGGTGTGAACTCCTGATCAATGTGCTTTAATTCCAACGCTATCAATAAAAGCAAATAAAGTTTTTGGAGTGCTGTGATACTTTTGCTGAATGTAGTTACAATATATATATATATATTATTTTTAAAATAAACATATGTCTTCTCATATTGTTAAGGTTTATAACTTGCATGCAAGCTTATGATTTTCTCTGAAAGCTTTCAGCAGACATCCATTAGGATAAGGATCCATTAGATTTATTGTAATATATAAAAAAATAATTATTGTTAGCATTTATGCAAACAAAGGTTGATGGCTATGTTGCATCATTCCTCATCATTTTTTTACTGAATAACTTTAGGATTGCAAATTATGATGTTTTCCTCATTTTTGCTTTTTAATAGAACAGATTATTAATTTAAGCCGTAATTAAAAGAAAAGGTAATTGTTTACAATCTCGTAGTCAGTTGCAGTATTTAATATTTCAGTCTGGAACAGGTCCCTCTTGTAAATGAGCCCTCGTGGCTCAATGAAACTAGCCTGTATAAATAAATAAAGGTTGAATGAATGAAAAAAATACAACTATGATTTTCTGCATTTTCTCATTTATGCTTTTTAAAATAAATAACAATGGCTTTCATTTGTTTATTCAGATGGAAGATGGTCAGACACTGTTTGACTACAACGTGGGCCTCAATGACATTGTTCAGCTGCTGATTCGATCTCATGCTGACCATCCAGACGGCCCTGCCACCAAGGACTCCTCAGGTGTTGCCAGTAGTTCAGCTCCTCTACCCGTCTCCAAGTCTGACAGCTGCAGCTCCCCAACTCCTGCCTCTCCCGCAGCCATGGAAACTTCGGCCAGTACGAACAGCGAGAACAGCAGCATCTCTACCAGCACTGTACTCGAAAGCAAGCCAGACACCAGCGCAACCAGAAACTTAGCCAGTACCAAAAATGGGTTCAAGTCCTCCAGTCCAGCACCGGACACCCAGCCGCCCACATCCAGCAAGAACACACTAATCAACCCGGGGCTTGGCTTGTACAAGGTGAGGATGGTAGTGGAACAACAATGACTATGTTGTGTAATTTATTATCCTAAAAACTATTATCGCTATAATATGAATTTCTGTATTTTAATACAATGCTAATAGCTACAAGATTAAGGTCAAAACCCATTTTTGGAAACTCTTGTTTTTTGTGTGTGTGTGTTTTTTTTAAGGGACTAGATATGTTCATTCATATAGTCCAGTTCAACAAGCAGGGAGATCAGTTTTCTCAGTCGAATTAGAAACTGTATCACTGGGCATCAAGGTTGCATCATTATACATGCTTTAAGCATTTACTGCAAAATGGGTTTGCAGGATTTTGCTTTGAATGTTTCTCAAAATTTGTGCAAAATCACACATTTCCTAATGTAAAATTTGTACAATAAATGGATCACTTATTTAAATTTGTGTGTATCAAAACATTTACTATAAACTGACATTAAGTGACACTATTACTTTTATGCTATACCAAGTTAATGCATTATGATGTTTGTTTATAACAAATCAGTTTGCACAAAGTTGTAACATTACAGATGATTACATTTGGACTTAGTTTCTTAAAGTTGTAAAGTATGTATCTTAAATGTACAATAATGCTAACAGTGTTTCTTGAGCTCACATACATAAATAAAATAACTGGATGTTGTTTTCGTGTTTCTGTCTCCACAGATTAATGAGCTGGTGGACTGCAGAGACGTAAGCCTCGGCGCCTGGTTTGAGGCTTGTATGGAAAATGTGACACTAGCCCCGAAAGGACAGCCTATGCCCACCAAACCTAGGGTGGGTCGGCCCCCAAAAAGGACTAATGGAAACCTGGAGGCTGAGCAGGGACAGGCTCAAACCACGGACATTAACAGTAATAAGGTTGGGTTAAACGCAGAGAGCAATGGCGCCTCCACCTCTCAGACAGACTTTACAACAAAAGACAGCAAGGACAAGGAAGAGGAAATAATTTACCACATTAAATATGAAGAGTAAGTATATTTTTATTTTTTTACAGTTTAAATAAATCCTTAATATAGCAGTGAATAATGTCATAAAAAAGTAAACTGGTGCTTCATCAATAGAGCTTTGATGAACAGCTGAAGTTTATGGGTTGGAGTTATGTAAGGTGAAAGATCAAATGGACCTAACATTCACTGATAACAGGAATATAAAACGAGCATATCAATTTAATTAATTGGATTGTCCGCATGCAGCAGTCAGGGCAACAGTTCTGGTTGTGAAGCAGCCGAGACCCGTATCACAAAGTTACCACCAGTAAGTTTTCCATAAGAGGAAAAAATCTCTGTCTTCATTTTGTAAAGTTTTTTATAAAAAAAAAAAACATTGGCAAATTGTTTTGTCTGTCTGTTGTTTGGTAATCACAGGACAAAAGTGCACTATTTTGTGTTTTTTTATTTTTCTTATACCTTAATGTTTCTTAAAAAATATACTAAATTCATATTCACTTTTAAATTCATTTAGGAAGTGGTTTTAAGTGAGATATTAGTGATGATAGTTTTGTATTCTACTCGGGCTACACAGCTGCCAGCCAGGCTTGTGTTTTTCTTAGAGCAAATATTTACCTTGAAATAAGATTTTTAAGCAATTAGATCATGCCATTCGCTGTTTTTATTATGATGAAATTCAAATTTAAATGATTTACTAGTATTTGGTATGTAATATGAAACAGGGTGGGACGTGTTGGGGTTTCGATTTAAGCTCTACTTTCTTTTACAAGTCGATTTTTTTTAATGGGGAAAATTATTGTAGTTAAAATAAAGTGAAAGAAAAATCTAAAAAGATAAATTAACAATCGTCAATGAACTCTAATCACCAATGATGGATACATTTGCTCATTTGCTCGACCCAATCTGCACTGGGACAGTGTGAGAGCATTGGTTCTGGTGTAGAAAATAATTTGATATGATTTTAGATCAAAATATACAGCATTTACCTCCAATATTGCTATGAAGGGACTTTAACTTGCCAGTTACACTTCTGTTAAAATGTTTATTAATTTTTGTTTTTATTAAATGGCACTTACTGAACAAATTGTGGGTTTACGGTTGGTATTTGTTACTGCGAGCATAGGCAGGAATTGCTGGGTATTTTTTTCCTGCCGGTGGGATGAACGGAGGTTTGTGTAGCTGATGCTTCAGTTTGGACTCTATCTCTCGATTTTCCAGTCAATTCATTCAGAAGCAGATGTTTCCATGGTAACTCGTGAGTTCTCAGGAGCATTACTTCTTTGCTTGCCTCCTTCGACTTCGTCTGTAATTGCCGTGAACACGAGACTGGACTGGTGAGACTGCCTTGTATGTTTCTGCTAAAGGCTGTTATTCCTGAGTGAATAAATCACAGCTGGGCCTTCAGTGCGTGTTTTACGTATATTTCATTTCCCAGTTTCCAACTCTCAAGTCTTCCACGTCCCGGGTACAACGCTTTCATATGTTGTGCCGTTATTAGCATACGAGGGGAGGGCTTCTTCAGGAACAATTTACCGTACTAGGCCACACTTTCCTGTTTTTATTAAAATTCATCGTTACCGTCTCCTCCTGTACCACATTTGCTTTAATAATTCATGCCAGTGAACAGAAATAAGAACGTTTGGGGAAAAAAGGTAAAGATGTCCTACACAGGCTCTGAACTTCAGTTTTACACGAATATGTTGTCCGTGTTTTACCAAACCTAGCTGAGAACGGACTTTTAGTTTAAACTCCTCTGTAGCTACAAGTAGAGTTGGATTTTTTAAAATAGTTTCAGCTTTTAGTTCAGCTGGAGCTTGTTAAATAGACTGTTTTTCCTCCTCGCTGCTATTTTTACTTCTCTGTCCAGTATTCATGTTAATCTTTTCCATCATTTTGTTTGCTTGAGAAAACTGGCGGGTGGGTAAGGTTGCTTCGTCTTCACACACACCACAAACTCTCCCCCCCCCTTACACCTGCCTGCATAGTCTGAAAGAGACAAACCAGCCCTTCCGAATCAGCCGCCATGTTTTTGGCAACGTTTCTGCGGAAAATAATGAGCCACAAAAGCAAACAGAGTGAAACGTTGGGAGAATCTCCTCTTGACTGCTCCTGAGAAATGATGCAGCATGTGCCTGGGCGTTTTGTTACTTCGTTGTAAAATATAATCAGACGGTGAAATCTTGGCTGAACCAAAGATGTTCCAAGGAATCTCTGTGGAGAGTCGTGAATAAAGACAAAATGGGTCAACAATTTTTGGTTATGCTCATTTTAATATGCAAATAGAAGAAAAACATCTTAATTTGTGAAAGCATGCTGTAACGTTAATTTTTAATTTTATTTTACGCATGTGAAGAACATTTAAAAGCACCCAGCAACTGTAATTTAGTTAAAGGAATCATATTTCCTGCAACATACCGCTAATCTGGCGTAAAAATATTTTTATGCAGCGGTGGAGGGTTTTTTTTATATGTAAATAAGGTAAACAAAGCTATTAATTGTAAGGATTGTTCGCCAACATATTGTTCAAATTAGCTTCTTCTAAATGGGTTGAGATATAAAAATACCGCAGACTTTGAAATCGGTCCTCATCACATCTTGTATATCTCGGCACAGAGGTGTTTCATCAGCTGTTGAGCCTGTGGAGCACAGACATGTTCAGAGATTAGCAGAATCTGGCAGTAATTTGAGATGATTGCTACATGTTTTTACAGTTTTCTCCAAAAGAAAAACGGATAATTAGTTTGGCTTTTTAAATCAGCATAGATTGGGTGGTTTATTAGAACGGGTGAAATTTGCCTGCAGCGGTGATTCATTCCTGTGTATCCTTACTTCATGGCAAAATGGGTGTCAATTTTGTTGCAGTCTTGTTACACAAATCTTTCTGGTTGTAAAACTGCTGTGTGTAACGTATTGAGCTGAAGTATACAGAGATGTACCGGTAAATATGACTATCAGTTCCTCTGAGAGAGCACTTATCTGCTTTGCTGTCGTATTTCATTAACGAGTTTATCTTCAGTTTATTCTTAAATGCCTTCTTTTTGTTTCTATTTCTGAACAGAGCAGTTATGTTTGTTGTGTTGCATTTAGAGCCATGACGAGTTAAAAAATTGGCCAGTCTTTATTCATGTAAATAGTGTATTGGGAACAAAAAAAACTTAACACGAGGAACAATAAAAAGTTTTATTAGGGATGCACAATATTATCGGCATGGTATCGGTATCGGCCGATAGCGATAAAGTTAAATATCAGGCATCGGCCATTCCATTAAAATAAATCACTGATATAAAAGGCGCTGTTTACATATATATGGGTTGAATAGACTAGTCGACTAGTTGATTCTATGCCATCTTGCGCGTTTTTATATTTCGCATCGACTAGTCCTCCCCCACCATAGTTCCCAACCCTATTCCACCCAATCCTCGTGGTGGATTAAATAAAATAAAACTAAAAACAGCAGCATTTTTGCAGCTTGATAATAAGAGGGCCGGCAATGGAGGAGGGGCGTACTAAAGAGACCATCTTATCACAAGCAGAACTGGTTTGTTCCACTTTGGAGTACGCTGTTGGGGAAGAATCAGTTTTGTTGTGCGTTTCCTTGACTCGTGAGGATTTCCAGATCGAAGGCGAAACGTTTCAGCACAAAAAAAAAAAACTGTCCAGATGACCTGACTGAAAAATGTTGGATTTTATACCTGGATTATTGAGCATGGACTTCGTTATTTAGCAATAACTGTTAGGTTCAACCCTGTCACTGTAAGCATATTTCATGAGCAACTGGGCAGATTTGGGGGAAATGGTTTCTGTGGCTTCTATTACCAGGACTTATTAGAAAACATTTACTGTATAGTTTGAAGCTGTAGCACTGTCGAATCTGCGTGGGAGTCGTAGTTTCAGATAAACAATGTGAACTAGTAAGCATCAGCAGAAACACTTGGCTCTGTGAAGGTCAGTATGACAGCTTTGTTGAAGTTCTTGTGCAGCCTCAAATTTGAACACTGGGAGTTTAATGAATGTGGATACACCGACATTAATATTAAATAGCAGCAACCACTGTTGTTTGTTTTAAGAACCTCTCCTTTGTTCTGCTGCTGTCATAGTAGGTCCGTGTATTTTCTCAAATGCATCTTCACAAAACAAAATTAAATTTCAAAAGTGCTGTTAGCCTTCTGGAGTATTAATTTAGATTTTTTTTTATCAGTATATGATGTTTTTCTTCTTTTATTTTGACACTCCTATGCAACTCTTTGTTTGTGGGTCTGATGTATGTTTGTGACGGCTTGCGTGGCTTTCGGCCTGGTCACTAGGCCTGTCATGATAACAAATTTTGCTGGGCGATTAATTGTCTCAGAAATTATTGCGATAAATGATAATATTGTTTGAAATTTGACAATAATTAGCAATTATTGTCAAATTTAAGAAGAAAGTAATGTTCTATTTGTTTTGAGTGCAGTACCTTTTTTGACCACTGAATGGCAGTATAAGACTGTTTGAACCGAAAGATGGATAGTGAGGGAGCGAGCAGCGTGTCTCTTTAAGAAAAATGGGAGGGAGGCCCCTTGATGTGACATGGGCTGTCTCATTCCTGTTTTTCGTTCTCAAAATGGCGGATGCTCGGTGTGTTTTGAGCTCTTTAGCATAACAACAAAAAAGGTTGAATCATGTCATCTGGACTTCGTTTTTTTTGTTAAAAAGAAACGTTTCGCCCCTCATCCAAGAGGCTTCGTCAGTCTGAGGCCTAGCCATCTGGTATTACCCAGAAGCCACCCTGACTCTTGTGTTTCAAGCCTGCCTCAGATACCCCTGAAGTCTGGCCTTTTCACTAATGGTTTCAAAAACACAAAGTTTGTTTTCTCAGTCATCCAGGTTGTTATATACCTGGATGACTGAGAAAACAAACTTTGTGTTTTTGAAACCATTAGTGGTTTCTTTTTTAACAAAAAAACGAAGTCCAGATGACATGATTCAACCTTTTTTGTTGTTATATACCTGGATGACTGAGAAAACAAACTTTGTGTCTTTAGCATAACATTTGTCACATAAAGCTTTTAATAAAAAAATCGGTAAACAAGTTCTCAGCTTCTTTTTGCAACAACAAAAACAACTTTTTACACAAAGGCACTAGGGGTGTATTGTATACAAACAAATCAATATAATATCGTATCGTGGTAAAGCTGGTGATTTACACCCCTTGAAGACACAGGTTTCAACCGTAAATTTTGGAGCTTCGACAAGACGGAGGTTTTTTTCCCTGAGGTTGGCCTGTTAGCTTAGCTTGTAGCTTAGCTTCTCAGCTTAGCTGTTTTAACGATCCCAAAACACGATTTTGGATGGTTAAAACGGATTTTAAAGAAAAAGAGAAAGGGAGGAGTCAGTGAAGAGCACCGGAGTTGAGTCTTTTGTCATCCAGTGTCTTCAGTAGAAAGAGAGCGACACAAAGAAACGATAAAGCCGATAAATTAAAATGAGGTCGATAATTTTCATTTATCATGCAATTAATTGATTTATTGTTTATTGCGACAGGCCTACTGGTCACTTGAGCTTTTGTGTTTCTGACTGTACGCCATCAGTTCATGCTGAATCCCATTGTGTTTCAAAGCTGATAGTCCCTTACAGTTTTATTTATTTTTTTTAATCCATGTATGTGTGTGTATACAATCAAATGTTGGCAGGTGTCTGTTTTTGTGTTGCTTTAGTTCACCTACTGTTCCTCGGCCTCCTCTTCATCGGATAACTTGTGCCAGAACTGTTCGTCTGCTGCTGATTGTTTCCTTTAGTCAGTTTAAAGCTGCTTAAAGTACATGTTTTAGTCTATTCAACAAGAAGAGCATACTTCACCACCATAACACCTTATTCTTATGTGAAGCAATTATTTTGCTTGAGCTAAATTGGCTGCTTTTGGTCTGCATTACCCAGTTTAGGGTCGGCTTTCCCAGCAAGACATGCTCTCTCATGCATGCAATCCTTTACTATGCCTCCGACCTCCCACTGTGTAAGCAGGCCCGAGTGTGGAAACTTTCAGTCCACACACAATGTTCGTCGGTAAACATAATTACCCCTGATGGCAAGCAAGACTGCTACTAATTTGTGTAGTAAATCCGGCAGCATCTATGCATCAAATGTTAACTAAAATGTTAGTTGTTTTAATAGAAAACCTGATTTGTAGCTATTTGGGTTGGTGCACAGTATTTAAAACTAGACATGTACTAGGTATGAAAATAAAATTAGATGGCAAATATCAGTTGCTTCAGATGTATCTTTTAAGTTTTAATCAAAAGATGGAGAAAAAAGCAAGACCATTTACTAGACAGTTCTCTTTCGGTCAGTACACTTTTAGTAAAGCACGAGTAAGGGGATTACAAGACCAACCTGAAGAAGTTTCTTTCTACACGCCTGTCAATGCCAATGAGACTGCTTAGATGAGAGGCGACCAGCAGGATAGTTTTATGTCAAGAAAAAAGCACCACAGATGCCATCTTTGCTTGGAGGATGCTGATGGAAAAAGTAGAGAGGGTCAGAAAGAACTTTGTGTTTTTGTAGATTTAGAAAAATCACCTGACAGGGTGCCGAGGGAGGAGTTGTATGAGGTAATCTGGAGTGACGGGGAAGTATGTTAGATGATACAGGGGCAGGGCAGTAGTGAGATGTGCTGTTGGAGTGACAGATAGCTTCAAGGTGGAGGCGGGACTGCATCAACTATTGGCTCTGGGTCCCTTTTTGTTTACTCTGGTGATGGACCAACTAACAGGAATCACTGTGGACTATGACGTTTGCAGATGACATTGTGATCTGTGGTGAGAGCATGGAACAGGTGGAAGATAACTTAGAGAAGTGGAGGTATGCACTTGAATGAAGAGGAATGAAAGTAGACAGTGTACATGTGTGTGAATGTGAGGGAGGCTGGTGGAACAGTGAGGCTACAAGGAGCAGAGGTCACAAAGGTTCAGGACTTCAAGTATTGGGACCACTGTCCAGGAACATGGGAAGTGTGGGAAATGGTGAAGAAGAGTGTCCAAGCGGGATGAAGAAAAGTTTTAGGAGTGATTTGCGACGAAAGGGTGGCAGCAAAGGTCAAAGTTTTGCCAGAGAATTGTGGTGAGACCGGTTATGTAGCATGGTTTGGAGATAGTGGCATTAACAAAAAAAACAGCAGACAGAACTGGAAGTGGCAGAGCTGAAGATGTGGAGGTTCTCCTTGGGAGTGACAAGGATGGATAAGATTAGCAATGAGATCATCAGAGGTACAGCACAGGTTGAACGACTAGGAGATAAAGTTAGAGACAGACTGGGATGGTTTGGACATGTTCAGAGGAGGGACAGTGGGTATACTGGTAGAAGGATGTTAGAAATGCAGCTGCCAGAAAAAAGACCAAGCGGAGGCATATGGATGCAGTTAGAGAGGACATGGAGGTAGTTGGAGTGAGGACAGAGGATGACTCGCTGTGGAGACCCCTGAAGAGGGAAAAGCTGAAAGAAGAACAACAGAGAAAAATAGTGGCTTTGTGTTTTATAATGTCCAACCTTTCATATCCAAACACTGCACAAAAAGTGAGGAAATTTGGGTGAATTTATTTTTTTTGGTTGTATCAGTGCTTTTTGGAAGTAAATCTTATACAGTTGGAAAGCCTGTTTCCCCCTTTAAATTAGGCTACTATTGTAAGGAAAATGCATTTGTGGATTGTACCCTTGAACAACTTTCTAAATCTTCTCCACTCCTGGTACTCCATGTGCTGACAATCAGGTTCTTGATTGGAGAAAAACAGGCTTTCAAACAAAATACAATTTATTCCTAAGAAGGATTGTTACAACAAGCTAAGTGTTCTTACTTTTTGTGCTTGGTTTATGCATTTGTTGAATTTGGCAGTTTTTCATCTTTAGCCACATCTTTCTTACCCACTCCTCAGTGACAGCTGCTGTCTGTAGCAGTTTCCAGAAACTAAGCTCAGGATGTGCAGAAGATGACTCAAGCCCTGCTGGACTTGAGCTGTTTTCTTAACTTTCTGACTTAAAGTGAGAACAAAGGATATTATTAAGCTTTGCTTAGTCTCCTGAGCTGTTATGGAATGATTTCTTATTGCATTTATTTTTCTTAAAACAACAGTTCCAGTAATTTATCATTTTTTGGTGATCTTTTATGAAAAGACAATCCAGTGATTTAGTGGTAAGATGTTGCTGTGTTTGCTGCATAAGAAAATGACGAATGTGGTGGGGATCACTATAATCCTTCATATTTTTTTGCTCAGATTTTTATTGAAAGAACAGATTCGGGTGTTGTGTCATATTTAGAAAAAGCAGGGCTATTTTATTGTTAAAATCCTCATCATATCGGAGCTACTGGTTTAAAGACTGAGGCATATTTTGAGTCTTCCTCAGACATAAAATGTAAGATTTTCTAATGAAGCTTGCCTTGTGTTCATTTAACTCTAAAATATTCTCTTAATACACAGCTTAATACCATAAGGTTAGAAGATTAAAAGTGCTAATATGCTACGGTGTATTTTATTGGTATACTTTAACTAACCAGTACTGCATTTGGGCTTCTGTTTAAAACCCATTCTTATCAGACAGTTTTCATTTGGTCTTGTGTGAAGATTTGCAGTCTTGCATCGACTTGTATGAACCTCCACAGAAAGACCAATATTTATTTCACCTTAATAGCAGTTTTTTGACACATGATGATAAATTCACTTTACGTTCTGATTAATCTTTTTGCTTTTGATTTATTCACTTTTCTGTACTCATGATAATATTGATGCCAAGGTCTGTAATCATTGTATTTTTTTCCACCTTTTGCTGATATAGTTACCACTTAAACCACATTTAGATTCAGGTGCGGAAATGTTTGTCTTAAAATGAACATTAGTGATCTTGGAGGAAGTGTTTTAAACAAGCGTGAAGTATTTGTGTACCGTCCTTACAACTATCGGATATGTCTCTTAATTGAGTCTTTCCTGCCTCTCCTTTTATTTCCAGCTATCCAGAAAATGGGGTTGTGGAGATAGAATCTGCACATGTGAGGCCCCGTGCTAGGACCGTGCTACAGTGGGACCAGCTCCAGGTGGGGATGCTTGTGATGATCAACTACAACATGGAGACGCCCGATGAGAGAGGCTTCTGGTACGATGCAGAGATTGTGACCCTGAATCAGGTTTCTCGCACCAACAAGGAGCTTCGAGTCAATATTCTTCTAGGGTGAGGATATAACCTTCTGTGATTGATACATTTTTGATTTTGGATGGAAAATGTTTTTTTTTTTTCCTTTAAACCTCTAAGGTTGTACCTGAGTTCATCTAATGGCTGTGTCTCCCCCTAGGGGTCCTGGAGATGTAATTGGAGATTGTAAAGTTCAGTTTCTAGATGAAATCTACCGGATTGAGAAACCAGGAGCGCGTCCACTCTCAAGTGCAGATGGACAGTTTAAACGTATGAATTAGATCACGACAATATGCACCGTATCAAACAATACTGGCAAACTCACTCGTGAGTATCTGACATGCATGTAGTTTTGGTGACATATTTATGTATTTATGGCTCCAGGGAAGAGTGGACCAGAGTGTAAACACTGCAAGGCCGACCCTGACGCGGAGTGTCGGTTCTGCTCCTGCTGTGTGTGTGGCGGGAAGCAGGATGCTCACATGCAGCTGCTGTGTGATGAGTGCAACATGGCGTTCCACATCTACTGTCTCAACCCACCGCTGACCACCATCCCGGATGATGAGGACTGGTGAGATGTAGCTCAGCGATAAGCTACAAGCTTCTGCACTTCACTCATTTTAGAAAGGCTAATTAAACGAGCTGAGTGTGGCATAAAGTGCCAGTTACGCAATAATTAAGTGGTGATTGAGGTTAAAATCAATGTGAAAGGTTGACAAAATGCACTTTAAATAATCAGTTTATTTAATGTAGTTCCTGTAAAACAGAAATTAGGTTGAAGATTAATGAAAACAATGTTAAATAATGAGCTTGCATGGAAGAAGACTCTTTTCCTTCAATTATTATTTTGCCATCTGTTGTAGTTTAACAGCATCAATTGTGCTCTAGACTCTTCTGTGACTTCAACAGTTTGGGACAGAAAACAAAGCAATAACTAGAAAAATTACTGAAGATCCTAATTTATTTACTATGAAACATTATGGCCAGCCTAATGTTATGTACAAAGCGATTGAAGAACAGAACTTTTCACGGTTGAATGGTTTTCAGCAAATTTCATTTTTTGCATATCCCATTTATCTGACTTGTTTCTTTATTCCAGCATCTGCCAGAAAAAGAAAGAAAAACCAGAATGTAGTTTCAATTTTACATATTTGTGACTAAATAAACTTTGAGATTTCAAAAGCACTGATCAGAGTTTTATTTAGTTTATTTATTCTTACAGGTACTGTCCAACCTGTAAAAATGACACTACTGAAGTTGTCAAGGCTGGAGAGAAGCTCAAAGCCAGCAAGAAGAAAGCCAAAATGCCTTCGGCGACAACTGAGAGTCAAAGGGACTGGGGAAAGGTAAGACAGTAAAAATTTGAACGTAATCGTCATTTATTTAGGACCATTATTTAGGTTTGCCTGAAAAATACCAAAATAAAATGGTACCACTGTGGAGTAGCCAAGCATTACATGTACATTTTTTTTTACAGTAAAATTCTAATTGTGCTGTTTACACTATCAGTACAGAAACTGGTCCAGATGAAATGATTTAACCGTTTTTTTGTTATCTACCTAGAAGATTGAGCCTACAAACCTTTTTCTTTATCAGTACCATCATTTGATAAATGGAGACAGAAACATCGTTCAATATTTTCCATGTCAGAATGAATGAAAACGGTCATATCTCAGCCAAATATTGGTTTATAAATATGTATAAAAACATAAATAAGTCGCTTTGGAGTATAAGTCACAGGATATGCAAATTAGGCAAAAAGGTGCAACTTATATGCCAGAAAATACGGTAGTTGTGCTGTTTAAAAGTTCTTGCTAACTTTTGTCACCATAAGTTTTACTTACTTAATCGTCTTTTCATCCACAAACTACTTTATTCTTCAATGTGTTTTTTGTAACGGTCATTGTCTGAAAACATTACATTTTGCTCGTTCAGATTAAATGATCAAGTTTGTTTTCATGCCTAAGTAACTGTAGATGATGTTGTGTGAGTTTTTAAGAAATGTTTGTTTGAGCTGTGCAGTGGTAGAATTATTGAGCTTTTTTAAAATTTTCATAAACTATAGAGAAAACAGTGGTGCACACCTAGGCCTTCAGTGGTGTCCTGCCTGAATTTATCCACCTTTTAATATTGTTTTTATGTCACCATGGCTACAGAAGCCATCAATAATACGCAGAAACGCAGAATAATATGGTGCTGCAGCACAGACTGGTCTCATGCAGCAAGAATGAATGCCATTACTGAAGTAACAAACCCAATTAACACAATTCAACAAGTTTCCTTCAACAGCAGCCACAGCTGCACTACATACATGGCTGGCCCTGACGGTCCACCACAGGCAAACATGACTATTGAATTCATTGTAAACCTCCTTTGTTCCTTTTTACCTTTAAAAAGTGACTTGGCAAACTTGTTAATTATATAATTTGAGCTGCTAAAACAGAAAAGTAGAATGAGGATAGCATCTGATTTTTATGTTCCCTTCTAATCACTGCAGTTTTTAGGAAAATCTTTTTTCATCGGGGACTTGCAGTCTCCTTGACGCTTCTCCATGATGAGAATGTGAACAATGCCATTAGGCATGACTTGGCTACATCCCTGGAACAACAGATGGAAAATAACTCCTTTCTTTACCGGAGCGCTCCTTTTCTCTGTGGATTAATTGAAAACAGCCTGGCCTGTGCTCTTCAGTACATTTTAAGTGCTCTGAGTCACAGTGTTCATACTTGACTTTATTTGTGCAACTTTACAACCTTTAAAAAGGCACTTGTCTTTGCAATTGCTCTCTCACTTTAAAACCTAATTTGACGAGCTAAATTATGTGCTCAACCCCCTAAAAGTTTTACTTAAGCACAGCGCTCCTAAAGGAACTATAAAAATGCAACGTAATAGCATCCACCATGCTGTTAAATTGTTTTGTTTTTGTTTTCCCCTTTCTCATCATATACAGGGCATGGCCTGTGTGGGACGCACTAAAGAATGCACAATTGTTCCCTCAAACCATTATGGACCCATTCCTGGTGTTCCTGTTGGAACCACCTGGAAGTTCAGAGTGCAGGTTAGCTCCTTTCAAATAACTACTGATGAAGTAATTACATGTCTGCCTGATTTAAAAATGTCTAAGTAATGAGTTACATGAAAAGCAGTTCCACTGTGCTTTTATAAAATTTAACTTGCTTTTTATTGTGCATGTTAAAGGGGGTTTAGCAGTCTTGAATTATAACAGTTCTATATAAACAGAATAAAGTCCCCAGACCATTAGAAAATTAATCTATTTTCTCATCCCAGACTTTGATTCTGTTTTGCTTTTATCCCATCAGGTAAGTGAGGCTGGTGTTCACAGGCCGCATGTCGGCGGCATCCACGGGCGCAGCAACGATGGCTCCTACTCACTGGTGCTGGCTGGAGGCTTTGAGGACGAAGTGGTGAGTTTCACTCTTCTTTATTTGACTCCTGCTGCTGCTCTGCTGAGCCCCGTGTGAAGTGCAGGGATGCATTTGCTACATTTCGCTGGTGACTGTGATCTGTGGCAGGACCGGGGAGATGAGTTCACCTACACAGGCAGTGGGGGTCGTGACCTCTCGGGAAACAAACGGATTGGAGAGCACTGTTTCGACCAAACACTGACCCACATGAATAGGTTGGTACAACACCTTAAAACCATCTTTAGTTTTAAACGTTCATTTTGTTGATTTACTTAATGAACATCGTTCTGTTGTGTCTCGGGTCTTGCTCTCTGCAGGGCATTGGCCTTAAACTGTGATGCGCCTCTGAATGACAAAGATGGAGCAGAGTCCAGAAACTGGCGAGCTGGAAAACCAGTGAGAGTGGTGCGCAGCTCTAAAGGTAGACGTATTAGCAAATATGCTCCAGAAGAAGGAAACCGCTACGATGGTATTTACAAGGTACACTCAAATGATATGCATTGGGTGTGTCTAGGTGAGGATCTTTAGTTAGAAAGGTGCAAAACACTAGAGTTGTGTAGTTACAGCCACTGAATTTACATCAGAAACTAGAATGGTTTTGTTAAATGTTCATCAACCCTTTTTACTTCCAGCCATCGTCATCCAGATTTACTAAAGCTTCTTTGTATACGAAAAATGTTTGTTGTGTTTTTGTGGCCACAGGTGGTAAAGTATTGGCCAGAGATTGGAAAATGTGGTTATTTGGTTTGGAGGTACTTGCTGAGGCGGGATGATCTGGAGCCAGCACCATGGACCCCAGAAGGACTGGAGAGGATAGAGAAACTGGGACTTTCTGTTCAGGTTAGACCACTGTTAAGAAAATGGTGAATGTTAAATGTTGACATCAAGCAGGTCTCCCTTTTCCCACCACAATAGTTTACATGTCAATACTACAGCATATATGTCTTACGTTTAACGGTATGCTGTAGTATCTTCAAGGATTCAAGGTTTTTATTTGTCCTTCCACCACATGTGGTACATGTGGTGGAAGGACATTGTGTAAACAGGGTCCCAGTTACATCCAACAAAAGTATTAAAATGTAAAATAAAAACGGCAATAAGCTCTAAGATATGAACTAAGAAAAACACTAACAAAAATACACTAAGCACTAATAGCACAAAAACAATACGCCGAACAGCAGCACTAACATTATTCTGTGTGAGCAGATGAGTACGAATGAACACAGCAGCATGAAACAGATCAGCAGCATGAAACAGATCAGCAGCAACATGATGTGATTTTTCACAGTGATTATTCTGGTTAGAGATTCATGAGTCTAACAGCTTCAGGGTAGAAGCTGTTCCTCAGTCTAGTGGTTCTGCACTTAATGCTCCTTAACCTCCTTCCTGAGGGGAGCGGGGCAAAAAGTGTGTGCTGGGTGAGTGGGGTCCTTCATGATGCACATGGCCCTCTTCCTGCATCTAGAGGTGTAGATGTCTGTGATGGTGGGGAGGCTGACTCTGACAGACTTCTGTGCAGCCTTCACCACTCTCTGCCACTAAGCTAGATCTGACACTAAGCTAAGCTAGATCCTTTGAGTGGGGTCTTCAGGAATTTGATTTGTTTGTCCATCTTATCCTTTAGATCAGGGGTGTCAAACTAATTTCCACCGAGGGCCACATCAGCAGAATGGTTGCCTTCAAAGGGCCAGATGTAACTGTAAGACAGTATAAAATTATGTAGCTAAATTTAAATAAATGTAATGTAAAATAAGCACAACTACCCCTTAATGTTAAATAACTGAATGTTTTACTTATTCAACTTATAAATATTATATTTTTTTGTCATAGTTAAGAGAGGCAGAGTAAAGGTCCAAACAACAATTGTGAGCTGCTAAGAACATGTGTGATAGGTGTAGCATTTTACAGAAAACAAATGGCTGCACACAGACTTGCAAGGGTCTTACATCCAACTAATGAGATATGGTATTATTATAGAAAACATTTGCCTGCATAAACACATAAACGTGCAATCCCAAATACAATGCTGCAAATTTAACATAATATAATAAAAGACATTTAATAAGTATAATAAACTCAAAATAACATTAGGGTTGAAGGCTCACTTTAGCACTGTTTGGTGTCAAAATGCTGACATAGATTGTTCTCTTTGACGACCGCCACTGCCTCATAACACAAAAGACATACCAGTTTCTCTCCTTGAAGCACAAACATATATTCGCCTTCCCATCTTTCTTGAAACAGTCTTCCATCTGCATCAATTTTTTTCTCTTCCTGGACATTTTGGGATCATTGTTTGTATTTCCCAATTGCACTTGTTCGGAAAATGATATTGATGTGGAAAAACTGCAATCTAGTGGTGGGATGCCGTTACTTCATGGGTAACTTCATCTGAATGCTTTATGGGAAATGTAGTTTGTTGTCAGTGCACCCTTTTGACTTATTTATTTTATGACAATCAGACCTTTTAAGCTCTCGCGGGCCACATAAAATGACGTGGCGGGCCACATCTGGCCCATGGGCCTAGAGTTTGACACATGTGCTTTAGATGCTCTGGGGTTAAAATCCTGAAAAATTTGAGGCAGAATCAGCTGAACTCCTATTCAATGTTTTGAGTTTACGCAGCGTCATTGAATTAGGGAATTGGAGAAACACTGGAATGGCCATTAATGTTGCTAAGTGAGATGTTTAGCAGCCATCTTGTGAAGAGCTACCGCTTGTATGTTAAAGCCACACATTAACATCTTATGTTGTATGGTTTGTCATCATTCCAAAGGCACATATAAAAAACTTATTTTTCTTAAATAAACAAATCATTCATTTTGTGAAAACATATTTTTATTTTAATTAAATTGTTAACATTTCTACTGAGTCTAACCAGAGTTCTGCTACACGTCTCTGTAGTTACTTTTACTTGGACTAAAAATTTACAGAAAAGCTAGAAACTTGGAAGGGAGATATAGCAAAAAAAAAGTATATATGTATATATATATATATATAT